GTAACTTCCCTGGTGCCCTTTTCTCAACATCTTCAAAAAGACCAAGGATGTGGAAGTTGACTGTGTGGCTGCTGGTTTTTACATGCTGCTGTCAGCCTCCATGTGCATGATTCTTTTAGAAACTAAATTTCTGCCTCTTAACTTCTGGTCTTCTTTATGTTAAATTCAGGATTATTTCACATTTTCTGATTGAAACCATTGTTGTGTCCTTTGCACTGTGCTTTTGCCAGCATTGCTTTATTGCTGCTTAGGCAATCTCTTTCAAAAGCTTTCTGATTTTATCTGCTATTTGATATACTCAATGGCTCAAAGGTGATGAAAGATTTCAAGTAACTTGATGATGTGATAATTTCTCCTTGATTCACAGCTGGAGGATGGTAGCGTCACCTCAGTGCATAAACACAGTTTCAGTGAGCACACAGCATCTGTGAGGCCAGTGATAGTCCTCAGAGATGCTTTTCAAAGTCAAGCTCCAACAGTCTATGGTATGTTAGTGATAGAGAGTAAAAAATAGTCTGAAATTACAAAACAAGAGTAAAACCATTGGCCCAAGGAGTCTCTTAATCTGTTTATGGACTGTCTGAGAACCTCCACTGCTTCCTATTTTATTTATCCATTGACTTTTTCTATATGCACTTGTTCTCAGCAGGGACTTGTCCATACTGGAAAGTTCTTCTTATAAGAGCATATCTTACTATCTGCTTGGAAAATACTTTAAAAAATAAAAGCAATAAAGAATCAGGCCATTGAGGCTGGAGAACTTCAGATGGCCTCAACATTTCATTTCAGTTCTATATTTTTACTGCTTCTTATATATAAAGGAGGGACACAGGGAAAAGATTTTGCCTTTAGGTCTTACATAGCCTTTAAGTCCTGTGCTCACAGGATGTTCCTTTTCTGTCTGTAGTGTTGCTATCATGCAATTTTTGTGACAGTGCAATCTCAGCACTTTCTTTAGAAACCTACAGGCTGGTGGGAATCTCTTGTGTTCTTCACAGCTAGAGCTTTGCCCTTGTGGTATTTCGTTTCTTTCACAGTCACTATGTTCTCAATAATGTAGCATGACTCTTTGGGCTGCGATACCAAGGCACCAGAATAAGGATATTTATTACCACAGGTACCAGCATTCCTCAGCCTGTGGAGCGTCGGGATGTTTTTACGTACTGCTTGCTGCCCAGCTCAGCACAGGCCACATTTCAGGAACAGCCGACATTCCTTCACTCTCACTGTTTTCCTTTTAACCAGCCTCTGTGACACATTTGTGCATGACTGCATAGATTGAGATGAGCTTTTAGGCAGAAGTCAGGGTGCTGAGGCGCTGGCACAGGGTGCCCAGAGAAGCTGTTGCTGCCCCATCCCTGTCAGTGCTCAAGGTCAGGTTGGACACAGGGGCTTGGAGCAACCTGCCCTAATGGAAGGTGTCTCTGCCCATTGCAGGGGTTGGAACTGGATGTGCTTTAGGGTCTCTTCCAACCCAAACCAGTCTCTGATTCTATGACAGGCACTAATCTGTATATGGTAGCTTCTGTTACTACCACTGATATATTGTAATATGAAAGGCATCTGCTCTTCCTGAAGTGCCTGGAGGGTGTCGTGCTGCTGGGCTCACCTCAGGGACACCCTGTGTGATTTCTGCTGTGGAACTGAGCTGGTGCTGCCTTCCCTTAGCCTCAGCCTGCTCTGAACAAGTGCAGAAGCCGCTTAAAGAACTTGTTAGTCAACGAGTGACATTCAGTAAATGTAGTAATTCAAGAAACTCAACCAGGACATTCCTTTTGAGATGGGGGGCTCTGAGAGATGTGATAGATCCTTCCTTCCTTCACCAGTGCAGTGGCAGACTTTGCTGTACTAAATGTGCAGCCCATGAATTTAGAACGTGTAGCATTGACAACTAATAGAGCTGACAATTAATGCTAACCAAAAGAGACATCAGCAGCATATATGCATGGGCAATGTTGAAATGACATCCTGGAGCCAGCCGCACAGGAGCGTGTGTGCACATTTCTTTTTGCCTTAAGTTGTTCTGAAGATCTTGTTCTAACATGTACCACAATTTTCTTCTCAGAGCACTAATAGGAACACCAGATAAGTATCCGAATTGCAACACTTTGTGCTCATAAAATTAAAGCTCATTATGTTGATCAGCACCTAACAAAGTGCATGCAAATGAGAGTGTGGGGTGCTCCTTGCTTCTCTTCTGTTGCTGGGGTCCCACTCACAGTATGCACCTCACACTACAATATCTCTATTTCTTACTCCTGCTTTGCAATAGTTGTGGTTTTCATTTCTGTTCCTCCACATGAGGTTTTTGCATCACTGTTGTTATCACGAGCCTGGTCTCCCAGTAAGCAAATGGTAGTGATAGTGATAACCTAGATGCAGGTTTTGTATATACAACATGGAAAGAGCAAAGACCGTTCCTTCCAGGGTATGGCAAGAAACTGTCTGAATTTCTGAATTCAGTCTTCTTTTTGTCTGTAATGAACATGAATGCCATGATAAAATAGATCTCTTTTAAGTTTATTGGTGGCTTATTTCATCACATACGTGTAGCAAATAAACTTTCTTATGAAGTTTACTGGCATTATAGATGCAGACTCATTACATGTAAGGGACAGGACAAGAACACCTTGGTACAGACAGTACAGACCTTAGGCAAGGAAGAAGACAACACAATCAATGCTGAGTAGTAAAAGGAGTACTAGTGATACTATCTTTAAAGACCCTTCCAACCCTGACCATTCTGTGATTCTATGATATTTTTGATCCTAATTGCTCAGAAATGTTTACTTCTTTCTGTGCCTGATTATGACATCAATGTGAGTATTTAAATCAGCAGCAGAGTTGCACAGTGTATTTCAACAGATTGCATTGAACATTGGCTTGTCGGCTGCAGTACTGGCTGCTCCAGTACAGGACAGAACTGCTGTCTGGATTCTCCTTCCCACACTTCCAACTCTGCTAGTTTCATTCTGCTTTGCTCTCATCAGGACTTGTTTCAGTGGAGTTTCTTCTGCAAGGTTAGATGCATAGATGCTGATTATTAGAAAACTGACAGTAAAAATACTCAAAGTTGTAATGTTGGAAAGGACAGGAGCCAGAGGTCCCGGTAGTCCTCAGAGCTGCTATGATGCTGCAGAGCAGCAAGCTCCAGCACAGACTGCTCCTTCGAGTAAATTGTACCTAACCTCCTTAACAGCCTCCCAGGTGCTGCTCTAAGGCCAGAGGTCGGGTGCTGTTGAGTAAAACACCCTATAACAGCCAGGAAGCATCACCCAGCAACAACAATATTGACATTGAAATTTGAGATTGAAGAAGCTCTTCCCTGGGAGGGTGCTGAGGCGCTGGCACAGGGTGCCCAGAGAAGCTGTGGCTGCCCCATCCCTGGCAGTGTTCAAGGCCAGGTTGTACACAGGGGCTTGGAGCAACCTGCTCTAAGTGGAAGGTATCCCTGCCCGTGGCAGGGGTTGGAGCTGGATGAGCTTTAAAGTCCCTTTCTTCTGTGATTCTATGAGATTAACTTGGCAGGCTCTTAGAGGAGGTCTGAGGAGCAGGGCTCCTGTATTGGGAGTATTCTTTAATTTATGTTGTTAGTTTAGTATCTTCAGTAGACAGATGTAAGAAAGAATTGTCAGTGCCTGCCAGAGGTGCAAAACTGGCTGAGCCAGCAGAGAAAGTAGATTTAGGGGACAGCTAGAAACAGAGACAAGTTTGGTTTGATCCTGCAAGGATCAAAATTGAAGTATTAAAAGTTAAGGATTAAAAATTAAGTAGGTGATTTTGCAATAGGAGGGACATGTGGGTATCCTTGCAAACGTCATCAATGCTGCCTCTTTGCATGTCAGTCAGCGATATCAGTATATTCTTGTGTATGAAGCAGCTCTTAATGAAGATCAGACCGTGCCAGAGACTGACCCACCAGGTCAGAAGAAATTTTCTATTAGATTTTGTTTCTTTCCGAACACTGATGGGACTGGCTGAGAGCCTGGTGTAAGGCAACACCATGTATCACTGGCACAGATCTGCCTGGGACTTGGGCACTCAGGATTCCCGTTCCCACGGTCTCCCACTCAGTCTGTGTTTCATAATGTTCTGCAGTGGGTGATGCCTTCTTCAGAGTGAGAAAACAGAACTCGTGACTGTCAAACAGAGAGAAAACCTTATAGCAGTGATACTCCTGTCTGGAACCTTTGCGTTTAAGCAGATGAGTCGGAAAATGCAAGGGATAAAGAACTTGTTAGTGAGCAGGTGTTGTCTGAGAAGCCCTCTGAGTTACTGCAAAGAATCATAGAATCAGAGACTGGTTTGGGTTGAAGGGACCTTAAAGCTCATCCAGTTTTAACCCCTGCCACAGACAGGGACACCTTCACTAGAGCAGGTTGCTCCAAGCCCCTGTGTCCAACCTGGCCTTGAACACTGCCAGGGATGGGGCAGCCACAGCTTCTCTGGGCACCCTGTGCCAGCGCCTCAGCACCCTCACAGGGAAGAGCTTCTGCATAAGATCTTGTCTTTAATAATCCCTTGCAGCAATTCAGCCCATGGAAGTTGTGCTTAAGCAGACCCCACACTTGAATTACACCCAGCAGAATTTCACAGGTAGGGCTTGATGTTTGGAATTGATTCAAATTAAAATCTCTGCTAAAGGAAATCTCTCCAGACACGGCTTTGTGCTTGCAGCAGACAGAAGCAAAGATTTATTAGCTTTTATTTTGAGGTGTTTGGGTTTTTTGTTTGTTTTTGTTGTTGTTGTTTTCAGGGGAATAACAATCACACTGGCGATTAGCTCAGGTGACAGTGATTAGGAACACAAATTCAGAGAGAAGAAGCAGAAAGGTCATACAGAGAGTTCGGATGAGCCCATGGAGTGAACAGTGTTGAGTAACTTGAACAAGTGTTTGCTCTTGCTCTTCACAGAGGCATGGTCAGACACGCTCAGCAGTCTTGCTTGGTCCAAAGGCCCACAGGTAGGGTCTTGAGGTGGAAGATGCTGCTTTTGCCCGTTATTCCTCAGACCTTCTGAAACTCCCTGTCGAAAGATTAAGGGAAGCAAGACTTTCTTTGAAGAAGTGTTCTCTCATTCAGTGTTTTAATCTTTATGTTACTAAGTAATTATAGACTGTGCACTTCTCACTGGTCTGGGTTTTTCCCAGCACTCTGGCAAGGTTGGAACAGGTCAGACTTCGTATTTGTACAAATGTGTGTGTGTGTGCAGCTCCATTGTATTAAATACATGGACTTGCTTCTGTTCTCAAGTGTGCCAGTGTAAATGACTCTTTAAATTTAGAGTGACTGTGGCAGTAGAAGTCAAATCCAGATGAACTTTGAATTTGTATTTATGTGTGTGTGAATATTTACAACAAATGTTTATAAGTTGCAGGTGATGTCACCTAATACCTATTACTCATGCCTGCCAAGCATTAGTGTATGTAGAACTGTTGCAAGTCAGATCGGATGTTTGATCAGAGGAGTTTGCAAAGCCTCTTCATTTTTAAAAACTAGATCTCATCTATTCCAAATCTTACCAAAAAAATCTTACTCGTTCCACAAAGGCCTCTGAAGTCACTGCCCTTGTTTTCAGCATCAAGAGACTCTCTGGTATTCTTACTTTCTGTAATGGTGGCCTCAGGCCCTTTGGTCTAGAGTCAATACTGTCATGACCAACTGTCAAGTCTGTGAGGGAAAACAGCATGTGTGTGCGGGACAGACTTAACCAAGATTAATAGCCCTGTTGCTTCCAGGATGAGAAGGACTCCATGGAACCCTCAAAGCGGGATCATTTTCCATCTTTTTAAAGGGAAGGGAACCTTTCTGTAAATTCTCATTTGCAACATTTCCAGGCATTGCCTGAGGAGCTGCTGCTGGGACCTGGAGCCTTACCCCGTCTCATTGTTTTTATGGCTTCAGACACTTCGTCCATTGTTGCTCCTCTATCCAGAGTTTTATTCCCTTCCAGGCAGAGTTTCATGTTTTCAGCACCTTCTGGAACCACAGCAATGAAATCAGACATGGAGAAGACCTTCTGGTCACTGCCCATCTCTTGCTAAGTCAGGATTTTGCAGCTAATACCCCATAGATTTTAAATGTCTTGAGTGTTCTAACCCTACTTTAATCATTTTTCCCCCTTAATACCAGTTACATTTCTAACATTTGGCTTCATTCCCATACTACTGATTTCTCTAGTTCCCTGCATGCTTTGCATTGGATATTATTTTTCCTTTCCCTCTTCATTTCCTCTTTCTACATGTCCCCATACAACTCTTCATAACATCCTCTTCATTGGTGTCACTTCTGAAAATACTGCCCTACTGATGGGTTACTGCATAAAAACAAAGTCAGAGCGGACTTTGGGACGACTGGGAAAAATTAGCACGAATATCTCCTGATTTCCAAATCGGGAAGGAAGCTGTCACATACTTTCCTGGTATAGAGAAAAGGGAATGGAAGGATGTACCCTTCTAGCCTGATTTTTACCTTGGCTTTCATAAGAGTTGCCAGACTGGGGCTGGGAAGATGAAGAGCGGGAGAGGCAGGATTTGCCCCCTCCTCCTCCTCCACCTGAGGTTTTACCACAGGCTCCACCTCCTGCTCCTCCGCTCCCTCCTCCTCCACCTCCTGATGAGGAAGTTCTTCTGCAGGATCCTCCAGTTCTTCCTCTGCTGCTTCCTCCACTTGAGGACCAACTGCTTCCTCCTCCACTACTTCCTCTTCCAGGAGACAAGCTGGTTCCTCCATGACGTCCTCCTCCTGAAGATCCACCACCAGCTCCTCCCTGTGAGGTGCTGTAAGGAGGAAATGCCATCAATGTGTAGCATATATAGCACTGTGACCAGTGTCTGGTGTCCTATTGGCCATATCAAAGCCACTTGCTGATTCCCTCTGAGCTCCTCATATGACTGAGAAAGTGCCTTTGTGTGAAACATGTTCTAGAGAACTGCTTTGAAACTGTCTTGGTTAAGGACAAACTAACTGATCTGCAGGGAAGAAGAAAAAGAAAGATAATGGATGCCTTTAGAAGGCTTTCAAAATACGTACCTTCAGTATTTAGAAAAGACAGTTCTTTTCTTTCTTACCTTTCATTTTCATCTATAACTGTACTTCCTGACTGCACTTAGGAGAAGAAATGGCAAATTGTAAATTCTTTTGTAATTGTTTTTGTGCAGTTCATAGTAACTGTAGAATACTGCAGTTTTGTACACTGTCAGCTAGGGTTTCAATTCCATCCAGATTCCTGTGATCGCAGTAGATGTATTGATGACTGACCAGTTGAACTGGTTCCTAATACAAATATTGCTCCTTTCATCTTCAACTGCTTGCAAAGGTTAATCTGAAAGTACGTACCTAATGTCCTGCTGCCCCTCTTCCAGCAGAGCCCGATACTGAGCGATCTCCTGCTCCAGGCGGGTCTTGATGCCCAGGAGCATCTTGTACTCCTGGTTCTGACTCTCTGTCTCACAGCGGATGCTGGCCAGCTCCTCCTCCAAGGGGCCGATCATCCCCTGGATCTGCTGCAGCTGCATGTTGTAGCGACGTTCCGTGTCTTCCAGGTTGGACTGCAAAGAGTCCACCTGCAAAGGGAAAATACAAGACAGTGTTTATGGGAATGTGGCACGTTATGGGAATGTGGCAGGATTAGATCATTCTTACGAACCAACCATCTTCATTAAATGTGCTGGCTACATTCCAGCAGCTCACATGTTCTTTACATATCAGAGGATCAGAAGCAACAATTCCCTACCATGCTGATCTGCGACTGCAGCTCAATCTCCAGGCTCTGATATTCATGTCTCAGCTCAGAGATCTTTTGGTTGCTTGACTCCACTTCCTGGCCAGTTGAGTGGACCTGTTGACTCACTTCCTCCATCTGAAAAATTAATATACTGGAGTTGTTGAGTTTTACTTAATATGTCAGCGTGGTCAGTTATCATTTGCTTATCAACAAGTTGAAGCAGGGCCACTTGTAATAGAGTGGCTGTTAGAACTTGCTTGTGTGGCTCTGCCAGTGCAATTCAAGCCCACTCGTGATTTCTTTTATTTTAACCAAAGGGATTCTGTCATTATATCCTAAAAGCAATGGATGTCATCATTCAAAGTGTCATTCACCTCCAGGAAATTCTTACCAAAAGTTGGCATTGGTTTTCTTTTGTGATGTGAACCTTCAAATCAGAACCATTTTTTTACCTTGCTTTCATACCAGCTCTCAACCTCTTCACGGTTTTTCTGAATGATATTTTCGTACTCCTGTCTCATGGCATTCAGCTTTTTCAGCAGGTCCTCCCCTGGAGCAGCATTCACCTCCACGTTCACATCACCACTGGACTGTGTATGCAGCAATTTCATCTCCTGCAGACAAAGCCCCAACCCGAGGCAAATAAACAAAAAGGGGGAAATTACTTTGCAAAAGAGTTTTGAAGTCAGTTAATTTGCTCTGACATGATACCCCATCCTGACCCTTTCAACAATGTCTGTGTGTATGTTGAATCTCCTTGATGAGGAAAACAGGGAAGACTATTTAGAGTGGCGGATGCTACCTGAAAAACCTCCCACATTTCTGATATTGTAAGTGTTCTTGTTCTCCTCTGCAGTTTGCACTTCGAGGACCTGGTTCTCACCTCCTCATGGTTCTTCTTGAGGTCAATCATCTCCTCCTTCAGAGACTCAAATTGCATTTCCAGGTCAGACCTGTTCAGAGTCAGATTATCCAGCAAGGGCCGCAGGCTGTTGATGTCACCCTCCACGTTCTGCCGGAGCCCACGCTCGGTCTCGTACCTGCGCCAGGGACAGTGCAGAGGTCAGCCCTGTTACCAGGTTCTCAGTCCCACCTTGGTGTCTGCACTCCATTGCACACAGCATCTCTCAATCAGCAGAATTATGAAACCAGCAGCCAGTACTGAAAGTTTCATATTAAGATCAAAAAGTATTCTGTGGTCTTTTAATTGTCTCTTCTTGCTGTAGACTGCACAAGTTTCCTCTATCTGTTTCGTCTGACTTTCAGTGAGAGAAAATCACAATTCTTATTCCTTCAAATAAAGCTAATTTTAAGCTTTGACTCCACTGCCATAGGGAGTGTTCCCATTGGAGATCATTATAGGAATAATAAAGAGTTTTGAAGCCTTACAAATAATTTCAGTTTTTCTGCCATGGAACCAGGAGGAACCCTGGTCTTAGTGGGTTGATATTTGCTTATGGAATGGATGTATGAAACTAAGTTGAGGAAAGCAGGAGAAAGGAAGTCAGTGCCCAGGAAAGAGGATTATATATTTACTTTATCCTGAAGTCCTCTGCAGTCATCCTTGTGTTATCCAAGTCCAGAAGAACCCTGTTGGTCTCTACGGCCGCTGTCACAAGCTAGAAGAGAAGACAATATGCTGAGGAAGATTTTCCCTGTGAATCTCTCAGGTTTGCACAAGGGAGAGAAATACAAATGTGATCTTGTCATAATTCCCAGGGGTCTGAGAGGAACAGCATGTCCTACATGCAGAGGCCTGGAAAGGTCATCTACAGTGCAAAGCAAAAAGGTATCTGTGTGAAAACAGCATCAGAACTGCAAGAACTGTTTTGGGAATACAGGAGTCCTGCCGAGAGGCTTGTGTCACTGCCATACCTCTGTCTCACCTTCTGTGCCCAGGGCTGGCCTCAGATGTTTTACTCAGTCACAAAACATCTGTCAATGCTTAAACTTCTCTGACAAAGAGCATCCTACCTGGTTTTGAAGGTCTTCGATTTCTCCATAATAGTGGCTGTAGTCCTTTGTGCCAGTAGGGCCTTGCTTCTGGTACCACTCCCTGATTAACTGCTCAAGCTGAGCATTTTCCCTTTCCAGATTTCTGACGGTGTCCAGGTAAGAAGCCAGGCGTTCATTGAGACTCTGCATGGTCAGCTTTTCATCGTTGGAGAGAATTCCCCCAGTCCATCCAGGAAAGCCAGCACTACCAAAGCTGCCACCACTGAAACCAGCACCACCTCCACCGAAGTTTCCTCCGTAACCACCACCAAACCCACTCTCACCTGATCCAAAGCCCATGACCCCTCCATAGCCACCACTACTCATTTGCCCTCCATAATAACCACCACTCATTCCTCCTCCACAGCTTCTGCTGCTCATTCCTCCTCCGTAACTACTGCGCCTGATCCTTCCATAACTAGCACCTGCTCCACCACCATAGCTGCTCCTGGAGCTTCCTCCAGCACAACTGCTGCCAGAACTCCTGCCCCCACCGCTTGTCCTAGAAGTGACTCTTTTGGAGGATGCACAGGCATACATGCTGCCCCCTCCACCCCCAGCATTGCTACTGCTGCCACCGCTGCTCCCACGCAGGCAGCTTCTGGAGGTCTGCTTGAAGCCACAGCTCATCGTGGCAGCGGCAGTGACTCGGGTGAAATCTCAAAGCTGGTCTTACAGTTGTTCTGGAATCATAGCTCCAAATTCCACCCTGCCTGGTCCACATTTATACCTGAGGTAGTGGGTGTCACCCTCAAAGGGAGTACCTTCTTCTCGTGCATTTGTAAGCCGTTGTTTTTCTGCCAAGGATAATTTGCCAAAGGGAGATGTTTGAGGGTGTCATGAAGCTTAACCCATGCTCAGAGTGCCCATGAGGGTTTATTAAGACAAAACATGTAATTTCTATTGGGTGGCTCTGATTTAGGCAGATCTTTTTTGTGATCTAGTCACTGACTTACAGTCATCTGAATTAACCTCATCCCACTCATCTCATCCTGTTCACATCTATTTGAGCACAACCGTGAACTGCTACAATGTGGGTCAGTGATGAATGTGACTATTTCTCCTGCTCTTTCCCCTTTCAGAGAGTTGTCAGGGAATCCTGTCTGGTTTTGTTATACTTAAGTGATATATTACTAGGTTCTGGTTTCTGGGTATCTTATGATGAATGCTCCTTATTTTCAGTCCTTCGTTGGTTTATACCTTTTGAATATCCCAGGATGTATTTTGTGGGTGCTCTGAGCCACTCTGATGTCTTCGTCATGGTGACCTTTGGCCAATACCACACGCCCCATCAATCTATTCCAAACATCTATCCACAATTATGATTTATAAATAACTAATTAATAATGAAGAACTATCTGACAACAACTGGAAAATAGCTCTGAGTAAGACTGCAAGGAAAGGAAGCATGACAGGATGTTTGTTGCAGGGAATAGCTCTGCATGTGCTTGGAGCAAATGCAGCGCAGGATGGTTGGGAGACCCGGGAAGTGCCTGGCTCTGGGCTGGGCTCTCCTGGCATGTCTGTAGGTGGGTAACACTCCCACTCCTGAAGGGGTTTCAGAATTCCAGTCAGGATGTTTTCCTCACACAGTGCAAATACAAACATGCCTGCTCGGAGGAGAAGGGTTAAATTCCTGTTTGGGGGATTCAGCCCATGAGTTGTACATCAGAATAGCATCTTCTCTGCAGTTTTGTTTGCCATTCATGGATGCAGCATGACCAAAAATAGGAAGTATTTCCTATCTTGCATCTTCTTCTTCCAAGATTGTGTCTTTTTCAAACACACAGCAGTGGGTAGTTCAGCTGAGCACCCATCTTAGAGCTCTTACAGGAACCTGCACCTCACACCCGAGTGCCCCTCACATCTGCCCTCCTTCCCCTTGGGGGCTCCAGCCACGTGCTGTCTGTGAGCTCTGTCAGCTGCCACCCTTTCTCAGTGGAACTCTTGTGTGATATCCAGCTTCCTGTATTGATTTAGTGTGTTGTGGTGTTGGGTGTTGCTAGTTTAGAGGTTTGTTTGTTATGGTTTATAGCAAGTGTTTATGGAAACATCTTTTTCTAGTGCCCCTCCCAGCACACTCTCTCCCACACTGGAGGACACACCTCAGGTTTCATCTTCCATTGCTGAAGTGTCCACAGAAGCAAAGCCATTGCTGGGTTGTAGAAGTGTATATGGTTCACTACAAAATTTAGTGGGATCCAAAGCATAATTTTAGCTTCTTCCAGTGAGAAATCCTTCTGAACTGCACAATATTCTCTTCTATACTAACAGCTATTGGTTTATGAGACTACTGGGTTACGTCCAATTTAACATGGTGTCTGGTGGTATTGCCTGGCCTCAGGGCCACTGGCATCAGCCCATGAGGTGCTGTATGCTCCCAATCCACTGAGCATCTGAATTCACTGTCCTCTCACTTCCTGCCTCTGTGGGCCTGGGAACAGGCACTGACAGATCTTCTGACCTTGCTGAGGACAGTTCTCTGTCATGGGCAGGTGAATAAAGCTGAGGCTTATTGATTTTTATGCACTGGCCATAACTAATGGAAGAGGCCACAGTCCCAGTGTGCCCTTGGCACTGAGCGTTCAGTGGCAGTCAGGAAAACCTGCCCTTGCACATTGACTGACCTGCTTCAGGTCAGAGACAAAATAGGATGGGGAGGAGGAGGAGGATGCCCTGGGGGTAGATGGCACCACAGTTGTTTGTTTGCAGTGAGGTCTCTTATCTCATGATGAAACTTTTCGGAGCTCCTGCCCAGAGGAGGTTGGGGGACTATTTAAGCCTGAACTGCTCACCCAGCATGGGTATGGATTCACTCAGTGCGCCTACACAGCAGAATCACCACGTGCTCCACAGCAGCATGGGTGCGCATCTTTCTTTTGGGGTATGTGGAAGCAGCAGGGGGTGAGCTGGGGTGAGGTGCTTGGGGGGAGCTGAGCACACACAAGCCCCCACCAGCTCCTTCTCTGAGCTCTGCATTGAACTGCTGAGGCTGCCGAGCACGTTGGTGGGGTATGACCAGCCTGTTCCCCGCCTTTGCAGTGCTTCCCTCTTCCATCCTTCCCACTTCTGGTCAGGTCTGGTCAGGAAAATTCAATTTGCTTATGTTGCTACACAGAGAAGAATTGGGGAAGATCTATCTGGGGAATATGATTCATTCTCATAATTGCACATTATAAACTAACTTCCATTATATAATCAGCAAGCAATTGTATTAACACCAGATAATCCCGTAGGACAATATTTCTCCATAGTAAAGGAGAAGAGATTCAAAGCAGCCCTGCAGAGAAGGACTTGGGGGTGGTGATTGATGAGAAACTCGACATGAGCAGGCAGTGTGCGCTTGCAGCCCAGAAAGCCAACCGTATCCTGCGCTGTATCAAAGGAAGCATGACCAGCAGGTCAAAGGAGGTGATCCTGCCCCTCTACTCTGCTCTTGTGAGACCTCACTTGGGGTATTGTGTCCAGTTCTGATCTCCTCAACATAAAAAGGACATGGAGCTGTTGGAGCAAGTCCAGAGGAGGGCCACGAGGATGATCAGGGGCTGGAGCACCTCCCATGTGAAGACAGGCTGAGAAAGGTGGGGCTGTTCAGCCTGGAAAAGAGAAGGCTGTGTGGAGACCTCATAGCAGCCTTCCAATATCTGAAGGGGGCCTACAAAGATGCTGGGGAGGGACTCTTCATTAGGGACTCTAGTGGTAGGACAAGGGGTAATGGGTTTAAACTTAAACAGGGGAACTTTAGGTTAAATATAAGGAAGAAGTTCTTCACAGTGAGGGTGGTGAGGCACTGGAATAGGTTGTCCAAGGAAGTTGTTTATGCTCCAACCCTGGAGGTGTTCAAGGCCAGGTTGGACAGAGCCTTGGGTGACATAGTTTAGTGTGTGGTGTCCCTGCTTACGGCAGAGGGGTTGGAACTAGATGATCTTAAGGTCCTTTCCAACCCTAACTATTCTATGATTCTATTCTAAATACAGTCCCTGAAGTGTGACTGTTGGAGGAAGAACACTGTTCTCATTCTGGATGCTATTCTTCCTCCCATTGAGATTCAGCTGCCTAACACTTAGCATGAAACTCTTCTCTCCCCTAACATTTAAATGACAAGGGCTTTTTTCTCATTCCAGTAAAAAGGTAGATGTTTGAAAATGGAAAAATCTGAGAAAATTCAATTCAGATTAATTGAAACGAATCAGGGCTCCATAATGTATATTACATTAATAGTGGATTAACTGAAAGTTCTGAACAATAATTCCCACCTTGCTATTTCCAATTAGTAGGACAGTACAGGATATGTTGTTCATTCTGTTCCTTTCTCCCCATGTGTATTTATGGCCACATCTAATGAAGTAAAGCAGTGCAAATTCTACAGAAACCATCTGCATATGATCATTCAAGGTTGGATGGGGCATGGAGCAACCTGCTCTAGTGGGAGGTGTCCCTGCCCGTGGCAGGGGGATGGAACTGGTTGAGCTTTGAGGTCCCTTCAACCCAAACCAGGCTGTGGTTCCGTGATTCCCTGCATGCCAAACGTACTTATCTTAAGTGAAGGTTTTTAAGCTGTTTATAAGTGAGAGGGTAAGTCCCACCTCTCCTATGTTCTTCTGCAAGACAGGGTGTGAGTCTTGGCATCTGCCCACACCCTGAGATGTGTGGGCATGTGGAATATCCCTGGAACGTATCCTTGTGTCCAATGTTCCGAACACAGCCCATTCACTCACCTCTCAGGGAAAGCTGGTGTGCAGCATCGGGATGGGACCTGCTGCCCTCCATGGAGCGTGGTCAGGAATGGCCAGTTCAGCAAACACCTCTCCTTCTGGAAAAACCCAATTCTTGCCTACGTTATACTTGATCTGTTACTCATTCATTATTGCAGAGACTAGTACTGATGAAACATTAAAGGGCACCTTCAAAAGATCCACCACCCAATGGAACGATGGTGATTATGATAGGAACAGTAATTAGGTGAGTCAGAGCTGTGAGAGACTTTTAGAGTATGAACCCTTTGGATGGGAACTTCTTCATTTTAGGTCTAAGCAGCCCCTTGCAGAGCTGACTCTGGGGTCTCAGCTAATGTTACTCCATTGGCAAGACACTCATCAGCAAAGGGTCATTATAACCCTATTATAACCCCTATGGATAGCCTGGGTTTCCCTGTGCTCCTGCCTAATGACAGGGTGCGAAATACTGCAGTGCCATTTGCAAACATACACAGGAATTAGTGCGGTGAGTTTCAGCCTGGCGTCAGTTCTGAGCATGTACACACAGGGGCCCTGTTCAAGGAGGGAGGGAGGAAATCTGCATCCTCCCCTGCAACAGTCACACACACAGAATCGGGTCATGTCAGCCTCACTGCGTCTGTGCCCATTAAACACCGATGAGGGAACAGGAGCAGGATGTCAGGGCTCACAGCGGGTTGTTTTCAGCTGGCAGGAGCTCCCCAGCACATACCGCAGGCATGACTTCATCTGTTTAGTGTTCATGTGTTTGTGCTAGAGGAGGAGCCTAGCAATGGGAGCTGGGTTTGCTGCATGCCTCCCACTTGCCTGGCCACCCTTCGGCACCTCTGGGAGCTGGGTGCCCTCTAGAGAGAAGCTGCAGACCGATGCATCTCCTCCTGCATCACCAGACAT